TCGTCTCATTACTGGTGGATATAGGGGACGCCCTGAGAGATGGAGTTAAGTTCCATACCAATAGATACCATTCCAAGATTACATCTTCTAGGCCCTATGCACGCCCATTTGTCCATGACATTTGACAAATTATTGGTTGTGAAAATTACCAGGAATTTAGAAACAGTAAGGTAAGACGGTGCGAAACGACGATGCCACGCGACAGCACGACATCAGGACGCGGCAGCACGATGGCTGGACGCAAAAACCTAACCCACATAGTATAAAAACCATGGCACCCAAAACAGTATTCGCCTGGTTCATTTTTTATTTTTGTAAGAGTTTCAAATACAGATATCACTTATTTTTCCTTGATGTGGTTTATAAGCCATCGGAAAGTGATAACATGCTCCAAAAGTCAACTTTACCAGTGAAAATAAAGAATCAATATTAACTTAGGAAACACTTAGAATTTTTCAGACTAGGTTCACGGTTTGTACACAGGGTGTCAAGTGGTGTCTACATATGGAGTTCTTTCCATAATATGATGTATAACACCCCCTTTAACAGACATGTAACTTTTGTACTCATGAAAGTAAGTCTTGCATGTTAGCCTTTAGGCGGCGCATTTGCAGTGTAGAGTGCTGAAATAAGCCTTTTGCAAGTTAAATTTGAATAACATCTGGTACACCAAGTTATTTGATTGCACATAAACATAACATTAAATTCCGCAGACTAAAGACGCTGTTGCAATACCACGTGATTCGGGGCAAGCTTTTACGTAGCGACCACAATCTTTGGAATAGACTAGTTCGTTTGAGCCCCCCCCCATCCATTGAAAACAGCGTATTTGGTATAACACGTTTCTTATAAGCAAAAGCTTGCCCCGAATCACAAGACAGAGCAACAGTGTCTTTAGTATGGAGAATTCATTTTTTTGTATTCACGTGAATGTAAAGAAATCAGTGCACCAGATTTTATTCAAATTTCACTCGAAAAAGACTTATTGGGAAAACAAAGTGTGAGGGATTCGCAGCTGTACATTATGGTCAACACAGAATATCAACTGGAATCATACACAACGCTAGACAACATGAAAACTGCCAATTCCTATTGTAAGGCAAAAAAATATAGTCGGTCTCTGGTCAGAGCGCGCGTCTACTTTGAACGTGCGCGTCACTTTTTTCCCATTTTTTCTCCAAATCTTCCAAAACAGCGCCCTCTATTTCCACACCGCCAGATTGTTCGCAAGTAGACCACAAGTTCCCAAGGGTGCACCCTCGCAAAAAGGCCCTAAATATGTCCGCCGAGCTCACTAATAAAAGTTATA